ACATTTTTTGAACCATCCATGTTTTATCAACTGAAAAAAATCTGAAGTTTTTGCTTCTTCTTCATTAGGAGTTCGGGAAATGTGCGAAAAATAACCGTTATCAGTCAATTGCAACATCCGCTTTAAAAGCAAAAAAATTTGCAACTTCTAACGCAGAAGGAGCAGAAACTTCGCATTTTTTCAGCTGATAGAATGTAACTTGAAGTAGGAACGTTGCAAATTTTGTGGAAATTGACGCAAGTAACGATGTTTCTTAACTTGGAAAATTTAGTACGAAGAAAAGCCGCTTTCAGTCAATCGCCTCTTTGGTGAAAAAATTCGTAACTCCCAAACCGGTCGACAGACGACGTTCAGCTTTCTGTCGCGTATAGAGAATACTTCGCTCCACGAACAGTAAAAATTTGGGGAAAATCTAAAGAAAGGCTCTGTTTTTTTCTGGCGTTGGAAATCTAGTGCGTAAAACACTGGTTTTCAACCAATTGCGCCATCAGTTTAAAAAACCCTGGTTCCTAGATTAGATCAAACAGTAATCTGAAACTTTCGCAACCGATAGAAAATTCTTCACTCTAAAACTGGTTGACATTCGAGCCAACTCTATGCAATCGCTGATTTTTCCTGGCCCGGTGAATCTTGTGCGAGTAACAGAAATTCCTAACTTTTCATCTGGCGCTGGTTTCATCCAAAGTGAAAGCTTCTGGATTATTTTCAGCTCCAATTTCCTGCAGTTTGCCTTGACCAATCCAAACATCGATCAAAAACATCTCGAAAGAATTTCGAATTGTTTCGCAAATGTTTGTCATCGAAATGGGCTGGATAAAGTTGTTCAAAGCGGCCGAACTTAGAAGCAGGCCGCAACTCGTTCCCGCAGGACCCCATTTATTTGGCAAAGACGCCGCAAGCAAATACGGAACGACTCCTGGATATGCAGGCCAACACCGACAACGATCCAGATTGTTTGTACACATGTTTGCTTCTCATGCAGTTTACACTTGGGGAGCGTCCAGGATTTTCGGTTCGCCACCGCGGACTCTTAGGGAAAGGAATTATTAACTCCCCTGTTCCATTCGAACTGTCCTGGTTTGCAGGACTTCGTCCCGAGAACGAAACTTTAAAACTCCATTAATTTCTAATTCGTGGAAGTTCCCATTTCCGAAGCTGGAAATGCACCGTTTAATATTTACCCAAACACAATTCCGAGTTTAAATGCGCGATTGTTTGACTAATTGAAATCAGTTTCGAATGTAATTTATTATAATTTCAATTTGCTTTTAAAGGCCGCCTTAAATGTGTTTGAATCGGATTTTAATTAGAAACCTGCAGGTTTTGAACAATTGGAATTGTGCACAGTTTTCGTTAGCACGCTCAAGCTCAATAAGATGGAACAATCAAAGGCCTGGATTTAGGGGCTGATTAATCGCCTAAAAGCTCAAGCGGCCCCCTATTAATTTCGGTTTGCTTGTCGAGGCGATTAGATTAAAACTACAATTAGGAGCATTAAAGTTCAAATTGAACTAAGACGTCGCCTGGAATCGTTTATCCAGATTAAGTTGTAGGACTTCGGATGGATGGCCTAAGGAAAAACGCTGAATATTGCCCGACAACGTTCCCTGCAGAATAGTCGGACGAAATTCAAACCAGTTCGAAACTGAGGCGTAAGTTAATTAGCAGGAAAACTGCACCCAGTCCATGTCGGGAAAACTGGCTCTTTTGTGTCATGGACTCGTCGTTTTCCCTGCTAATCCTGACAGTTTTGCATTTGCAAAACTCTATTAGAAAGGGCAACCAATGGAGTTGAATGTGGGGACAAAGTTGAATTCTAGTTGAGAAAAAACACTGAAAAATTAGTGTTTGCCGTCATTTGCCTCAGAGTGGGTTATGTTCTATAGAGGGTCGAAATTTCAAGTTGCTACTTGCTTTGGTTAAAAACAACTTTGGCAAAAATCAATTTTT